TAAGCCAAAGACGTTTTGGTGCAAAACAAAATCATAAAATTGTTGATAGGTAAAGAACATGGATGTTCCAGAATTTCTTTAACTCCATCTTCAGCACAAATACTTAAAAAAAGAAATAATTAGCAACATTTTCAGCCTATATTCATCATTAGTTATCCATTAAAACTTGTTAATAAAAAGAAAAAGGGAGATGCAAGTCCAAATGGCAACATTATAATAGAATAAGTGTCAAAATTCTAGCTGCTGTGTTTGAAATAGTAAAATATTTGCCAATGAAGACAGCCCAATATCTTGTACATGATTAGATCACCTATTACTTGTACAATGATCAGTCTAGGCCTGGAGATTTTAAGTGATATTATGGATCCAAATACTAAATATTTTGGGAAGGATTCTCTACTTTTATGGAACAGTCAGGGCTGTAAATACAGTATTGTGATGTGTGTTATTGATATAATTTTTCTTTTTGTGTTGTTAGTTTTTTTTTAAACTTGAAACGACTAAGATTGTGGAAAAACTGGTTCAGGATTTTTCTTGTAATTATCACATCCTTTAATGTCTGTTGCACATAACAGAACCATTAACAACAACTAATTTTATTCAGAACAATTATTTTAAGTATCATTTAAATGTGGGTGTGTGTTACAGTACAGGAAAACTTGCAGGCTGAATACCACATTGAAATATATTTTTAGCTGTATTGAGGATGTTAGGTACTACAGAGTGACTTGGATGAATTGATAAGTTGGAATAATATTGGCAAATGATCTTTAATTATAATAAATGAAATGTAGCACATTTTGTTTGTCATAATTTGGTTCAAACTTAATATAAATGGAAACCCACTCAAAAACATGATTGAAGAAAAGGATCTTGGAATATTGATGGATAAGTCACTCAAACCACTGAGGCAGTGCTCTGTTGCTAGTCGTAAAGGTAATAGAATTTTTGAGTGTGTTTATAGACATATTGATTACAAATCAGTAGTGGTAATTATGCTTATATAAATCACTAGTTAGACATCACTTGGAATACTGTGTAAAGTTCTGACTTCTTCATCTAAGAAAGGATATTGAATTACTGGGAAGGTTTAGAGGAGGGCTGCTAGGATGATTCCATGCCTTGAAGTGTTATCTTATAGGTATAGGTGAAGATCTTGAGAAAAGAATGGTAAGAAGTGATGTTATTGAAGTTTACAAGATGAAAAATACCTCTTTACAACAGGATATCAGGACACTTAAGTTAAAGATTTGGAAATGATAGACTAGGGTCCAGTTGAAACAATTTTATGTTTATAACATGGTGCCTGGCTTATGGAATTGGTGGACAACAGCAGTAGTAGAGGCTGGTACTTCACAAGGGTTTAAGAGGGGAATTGGTGATCTCCTGAAAAATAAAGGGTGGGTGTGCAAAGACAGCCTTAAAGAATCAAATTATCCATTTTGGCTAAATAATGAATTGTAGTGCAAAATAAATTTAAAGCCCAGTCTGTATTTCATTTCACTACTTGTTCTCGATTAGACTGGTTTAGAAGAACTCCACCTACTCATCAGTAATCTTTGAGGAGGACAAATTGAATATTTAAGAACAAGATTGTCCAATCAACAACTAGATCAATTTACACCAATGTGGGTCCATAGGTGTCACAAATCAGGAAAAAAGTTGATGTTTTAAAAAGGAAGATTAAGTAGGTCTACAGCTGTATCTTGGTTATGTTTGTGTTAAGTAGAAGCAGGCATGGCTGAGAAAATCTGTAATTCTTAACCAAAGGTAAAGGGACCACGATATTTTCAAACAAACTTTGTTTTATTCACATGAAATATGGGTAGCTATACATATGCAGGTTTTGGTATATTTATGTACTATTAAATGATGAGAAACAAGTTTTTAAGAAACATCGTAGAAGTAAATTTTCAAAAAGAAAGGGTTAAGTTTTATTAAATTAAGATTATTGTCCAATTAAGATTTACAGTTGTTGTGTGAACTTTCATTAATTTTTAAAATTGTAGATAAACTTAATTTAACCCATGAGAAACTGTTGCATATTTAAATGCTTAATGTAATATAAATACTGCTCACAACTGTACAAAAGCAAAATATTTTGAAACAATATGAAGAAAACAAAACATTAAAAATGTAAAAAATAGAGTAGAAGTTGAAAAAAAATTACATTTTACATACAGAAGGTTGCATGTACTATGTGAAGCCAACAAATAGCAATTAATTATCATTGGCTGTAAAATTAAGATAGTTACATTACTAGTTTGGTATTTCTTATGCACAGTTCTTTTTAATAAGCTCAAATTTACTATTATTGAAAATGTTTTGGAGTGATTTTCTTAGTTAGGACACTTAGTTTTATATTCTATCAAATCATTAGATCTTGTAAAATTGCATTGTTTATCTTAGGCACTTGCAATCCACTGCTGGATGTAGCCATTCATATCTAATTTCCATCTCCGTCAATTTCTTGTAGTATTTTTCCAGGCTTGAAGTCCCCGATGCTCTACTATTATTCTTTTTGTTTATCTGTTGTCATCTTTGCTATATATACATTCAGTCCATCTCTGCATTAATGTTTTTAATATGTCTCATACTTTAATTTTTGTTATAGTATGCTCATTCTTGTGTTTTAGAGAGAAGCCCAAAAGTACTCCAACCTGTTTTCACTCTAAGGTCTAATTTTTCTTTTGTGTTGTTCTCCATCTTTAGGGTATTGCTTAAGTATTTATATACTATATGCATTATATAACATATAATACATCTTATAAATTACCACTTTTGATTGTCTCCTGATTTTTTTTTTCTCCATTTGTAACAAAGTTTATAATGTAATTTGTTTTTCCCATGTGTATATTCAGTCCTGTTTTCATACTTTCTGAGTTTAAACTGTTGAGTTGATCTTCAACATCTTTAACACTTCCCATCATAAAATAATATTTTGGGACAACATGAGACCTATTGGTCCATCTCGGCTGTTGCATTCTCAAAACTAAATTAAAATGATTAAAAAAAAGAAATAAAAAATTTTAAACCCAGCCCTTTTAATTCATACACTTATCAAGCTTTTTCTTAAACTCACTTACATTTACTGCCTCTACAACATCTGAAGGCAACCTATTCCAAAGTCCAACCACTCTGTTAGAAAAATAAAACTATCTTAGATGAAGATGACTCCTACCTT